TATCACGCTTAGTTTGCTTCTTAGGGTTTAGCCAGGAGTTGTAGCAGAGCCTGTCTGCCTCTGCCCCCTCCCCAGCACCAGCCCTCTGCGGGGTCTTCTTCAGCAGGGGCCCTGCAGGGACCACGCTCTGCTTACTCGGAGCCAGTGCTGCCTTTTGTCCTGCAGTCGAACCGAGCCGGCTCCGAGAGCTGTTCCTCCCAGACAGCCCCAGGGTCTGTGTGCTCCCAAGATGTCCCGCACCAACGCGTCGCGCGGGCGACGCTGCTGTGGTGACACACGAAGGCAAGACGTCTTCACGGCTGCGGGGCTGGGCGGACGCCATGGGACGGGCATCAGGTTCCGCTCAGCCGTATCGCACGCACCGTGCCCCGGCGGCGAACGAGACGTGCGAGAGCAGGAGAGGAGCCATCGTGCGAACATCTTCACATCTCAGTTCGGGCTGATTCCTGGAGGAGCGTGGCTTTCCTCAGTGTTAGTGGAAAACCTATTATTTTGCATTCGCTAAACAGTTCGTACAGGGTGTTCGTGGGGGGTTGTCAGGTTATTTCAGAAACGCTTCGGTGTCACCAGTCTCGGGAAACAGGACTGAATGAACAAGAGTGTCCTGGTGCTAGGAATTTACCTCTCACTCGACACTGGAAAACCTTCATTCAGCTAAATTCATAATTTCTCAAAATCTGCTCTGCCGGGCGCTTGCAGACACAAACATCCAGATTATGCTCCTGTTTCAGGAAAATAACCAGAAACTAGGCTGGAAGTGATGGGGGTAAAACCGTGAGAAAGGCAAGAGAGCAGGGAAGAACTGGAAAACCTGAGACTAGAGGTGACCAGGGAAGATGCTGAGGATCCAGGCTAAGCTGCTGCAGAGGCAGAGGGGGACCGTTCAGTGTGAACAAGCCAGAGAAGCCGGGACAGCATGGTCAAGAAACACTGCCACCATCACACAGAACTACGAGCAAACCAGGGGATTCCTACACCTCAGTCCTACTGTTTTCTTCTTTTTTTTGCCTGCAAACTGTGGCTGAGAAACCTGCTAGCAAAATACACATCAACACATCTGCCTCCTTGTTGAGCCACTGTCCCTACGCTCGCAGGTAGCGCAGCACACCAGGAGTGGATGCGGAGATTGAAGCAGTGCTGAGGACCCGATGTGCCCCACGTTGGGGGCTGGCGGGGCTTTGCGTCAGAGCAGACCCGTCCTGGTTGGGTGGGCTGACCTCCCGCTGGCGGCAGGACCACGCCAGGTTCACTCCAGCAGAGCAGCCACCAGCTTTCCCTCTCAGAGGGCGCTGAGCTCACGCGCTCTGGGTGCATCCGTGTCAGCGTTTCTGTCCGGGCCAGCAGCGCGCTGGTGACGCAGACCTCTTGGCCAGGTGGCTGCACGACGCCAACACGAGCTGACTGGGGTGAAAATATTTGTTTGAAACGTCTGAAACCGCATCTAACAACTTTTGTGTTAAATATTACGATGGCGAAGTCAAGCACTCCAGACAAAGCCAGAAGTGAGGCTGCTCTCGCAATCTTTTTGCCCCTCTCTCTCTCTCTGGTTTATATAAAGGTGTCTTGGTAGCTGTTGACTTCATGTAGCTCTGCTTCGTTGAAAGCACCTCATTTCACAGAATCACAGAATCACAGAATAGTAGGGGTTGGCAGGGCCCTCTGTGGGTCATCTAGTCCAACCCTCCTGCCCAAGCAGGGTCACCTACAGCAGGCTGCACAGGACCTTGTCCAGGCGGGGCTGGAAAATCTCCCGAGAAGGGGACCCCAAACACTCCCCG